ATAGCATCTGCCGCTCATGGGTCTCCGGGGCATGCACTCTTGGCACTTCATGCACAACGCTGACACGACCTCTACTCCATGTGGCTTCGGCGACTCGGACGTCTGCACTGCATCGTTCACGGTGCTAGCACTAAGATCGTCCACCAACCTGACCTTTCTGCTGTCTCCTACACCTTGCTCAAGGCCAAACCTTTTACTGACCAAAGAACTATGCTTAAGTTGATCTTTCCCAACGGGACCCCTAAGCCAACCCTCTGCGACTTCCTTCATCGATTTGTCCCGGACCTCCTTATCTAGGTGGCCCTGCGATTTCAGGTTGCCAAGCACCTTCTCGCGGCTCGCCACAGCCCTCGCCTTGACCTGCTCAGGAGTAGCGACTGCGGGCTTGAACGACTGATCAAACACTCCTGTCAGCGGCACCTGACCCAGAAGTTCGGTGCCACGCGCTACTTCCTCCACTACACCTAAGTCCTCATACCCAAGGGATTCAAGCACTTCCCTCCACACCAGTAGACCTTTGCCGCCTAAGATATTTTTCAAGTGCTCCGGCAAATGATTTTTCAACTCTTCCTCTTGGGGGCGTAACTCTTCCGCCCTGCGCTCCCACTTCCTGAACCATTCTTCCCGGAAAGCCTTCAGTTCCTCTTTGCTGTGCGACTTATTCAACTCCACAGCTTTTTCAAGGGGTTGCGGGAGATTGACGGGCACCAGTTTTGGATGCCCTGACTTGACGGCCTCACGCACGAATGCTTCGGGCTTGAAGGGAATGCCCCATGCTATTTCACAACGGTTCCGCAACTCTTCAGCCTGCTCTTTCCCCTTATTGGCCGTGAGGGGGGAGACCCGCAGAAGCTGAGCCTCGGCAGGGATAACACGCAAAGTGCAGGAACATTCCAAGGGAACAGTCCATGGCGTTTTGATGCGTTGCATGGCCTCACAGGGCAGGGAGACTGACGACGGTCCGGTCATAACGATAACCTGCGCATGTTCGGGGACTAAAGGAGGAAATCGTGAGGCTTTGGGCTGGTTCCCGATCACAGCCTGGCATGCTGTTTGCAAGGAGTGGGGTTGTTGCAAGCGGGTTTCCGGGTTCCAACCAAGACTGCAAGCATGGCATGCGAGTGCGTGGGCAATGGAAGCAGCTAGCTTGGGCGGGTAGGCAGTCTCCTGATCAGCGGCATGTTGTGCCGCACAGGCTTTACCTGGGCAGTCTTTTGCCAAGGATGCGAAGCACGGTGACGTGCTGACAATGGTAGTTCGCTTTGGCTGGGAGCCACCGAAAGCACATTGGTCAAGGCTGACAGTGTGTGCACAAAGATGCTGAATGCGACGGAAGGCAGATGTGTTCCAATAGGAACTGCGCCGAGGGTTTTCAATGGCGCAGAGAACACGTCGGCGCTGACACTCCTCAACAACATCGCTCAGGAATTCATACAAGGCGTCATGCGAGGATGCATCACAGGGTGGCGAAGCGAAGACGGCCACCAGCAGAGGGCTCTGCAGCCAGAAGCGACAGAGCTCGCGACCTTCAGGTGTCAACAGGTCGGCTAGAAGTGGCAAGGCGGCAGCCTGAGAGTGCACACAGTGGTCCACTGCATGCGCAGCGGTTACTCCAAGCTTCCGAAGGCAGGCCGTAACACGCCCCGTGCCTGAGAACAGCTCGAAGATCACGGGACATGTGGGGATTAAACCAGATTCGAGGCTAGGCTGAGGGGGAGGTTTTAGGGTATGACAAATAAAATCCCCCGTGGCCAACTGCGGTATCTGGAAGCCGAGACTTGTCAGCTCAGCACGCATGGCCTGACCAAAAACATCGTATCCCTTGACAGTGAAACCTGCAAGAACAACTCGGTGACCCGTCCATGGGCAGGTAGCATGTCTTGCATGAGCATCGAAAAACGCACAAGTGCGTGAGACTGGAAGCAGCTCACCGCAGCCGGGATAGGCTGGATCAGGGCAGACCTGAGAACCTGAGGACGATTCGACCCAGAGCTCTCCATGATCAAAGCCAGGCAAACCGATTAGAAAATTGTCTACACCCGCTGCATTGTTCCGATCGGCATGCAGGGGCGCTTGCACATCTGCGAAGAGCATGAGACTAGTAAAAGGGTGATCCTGCACCCACTGCTTGGCATATGAAGCCAGCATCTGGGTCACAAGGGGAAAAGACCGCATATTTGTGCGTAAAGCGTGGACTCCACCATGCACAGTTGCACCTGTGCCCCAGACGAAGCCGTCCGGGGGATAGCCTGGGCGATTCTGAGGATCAGAATCTAACAAAGTGGTGAGCTTCACCACTTGGTCTGCAGTAATTGAAGATTGGGCCAAACAAACCTCAGCAAATGCTTCTGCCGGATGTGTGTTGTTGGCCTGATGAAGAGTATTAAGCACGACGTCTCCTGTGCAGGTACTGGCACAGTCATTGACAGCTGACGGCGGGTGATTTTGCTCTGGAGGTTGTCACTGCGGGCATTTGGTGATCGGGTGATCACCCTCACACTTGGCACATACATGCTCTCTTGTGCAAGCACTGCCGAGCTTACAACCTTCCAAGTTAAAACCATAACACACTTGCAAACCCTTGGATGTATAAGCCTTACCACCGGCATCCTTGATTCGCTTGGGAATTGCCACATTGTGCTGCTGGGGAGGTGGCGCGACGCCAGTGCCTTTGCCTCGGCCCCCTTTGCCTTTGCCATTGCCTTTCCACGTCTTGCCTTTACCCGTGTATGGGATTCGCGGCGGGCTGTAGTCCCGCTTGTGCTTGTTACCGACCGGTAACGGCAGCAGCAATGCAGAGACCTGGTATGAATCCAATGCATCATGCAAGTGTGTGTCCATGTCGCGCGTCCCATCAGTTTGCTGGCGGGGTCGAGTACCCCGCTCGACCATATGCACCCACACCATCTTGTCCGCATCCTGTAGCTGTGTGAGGCTGACTCGACTGTGATTTGGAGGAGCCGGGCGCCGGAAGTTCATAAGCAATTTGGCAACATACTTCTCATAGGCACTTAGTGATACGCAACGCGCCATGTTGTATGCATACCCTCGCCTCTTCAAGGCCTCAAGAAAAGCCAACGCTCCGTGGGCGGGCTGCTCAGGAGTGTCGGTAACCTCCTTGACATTGATTTTGCCTGACTCGACTTCAAGCACTTTACTCGGCTGCCGGTGGTTCAGCACCTCATGCTGTCTACTCACGCATTTCTCAACTGGAATATGCCTTAGGACATTTTCTCGTTCCTGTGCGCTAGTGAGCTCCAACAGGCTGTGGCCTGGCTCCGAAGTTGGGTCAAGAAAAAGTCCGGGATTGGCATCTTTAAAAAGCTTTACTCGCTGATCACGCTCGGCTTCCGGAAGCTTCTGTCGACTATTGGCATCGGGATCCACAATGCTTTGCCGCAGCTGTGCTATGAGCATTGTTTGGGCCTCAAAATGAAGACGTTTGAAACTCAGAACCTCACCAACACTCAGGCCAGTCAAGTTTGCATCGACCCATTCTTTGATTTGGGAGTCCTGAATATCCTGCCCTGGCACTCCGACTGCGTGGGCGACCTGGCCCAGGGTTTTCACACCGATGCCTGCCAGCTTCGTAATGGACTCGGAGGTTATGCCATATGCCTTGCATCGCTGCTCGAAGTGGGCAGTGGAGTCAAGGTAAGCGGACATGGTTCAGAAAGAAAGCTACGTAGGTTTGACGAAGTACGAATCATGATCCATCAAAGAACACATGTAGTGCAATTGAGGGTTTCTGGGAAGCTTCAGGTGTTTCTCTGATTTGTGTCAGTCGACATGTCTGAACCATCTTTGCCAAAACTTGCGCATGCACAAACAACTCAAACCTCATTCACGATACACGTCAAGCTACCTGCACATGTTCAGCTCCACAGATGACACGCTTCCCTCAGGCATCGCACGGACACCATATTTTCACTTCCCCTTGGAAGGACTCACTAGCCCCGAGGCTACATCCTGTGCTGCAGTTCGCAGCCTACTTGTCGGCTTTCCGACATGTCTGGCAAAATGCCGTTGCTTCTCGTGAGCCTTGGAGCTTCTCAAAATTCTGGGACCCTGAGCGCCCGCAAGAGAAGACCATTGTTCCTCCCTCCGAGGTGAAGACGATCCTGTGTGCGATGCGAGACTTCACATGCACAGCAACTTCGTGACGCGGCCACGCCACGTCCAGCCTTGGTACCTTGGTAGGCATTCTGGGGGGGACTTCTCCCGAATCACTGGATGCAGAGCTGGAGCTCTCACTGGAAGATGATGAATCAGAGTCAGAGTCTACACAGACTGGACCAGGTGGGTCGGCAATGGGGCCCGCTACAGCAGCGACTTCAGTTTTCACGTCTGAGCCTGAGTGACGAAGGGCCTGATCCTGCTCATGCAGCGTCGGTGCATTCGACTCGAGAGCTTGTGACCTCAAGGGAAAATACTCTGACCGGGCAGCATCAGGTGCGAAGCGCTTCGCTGCCACTTCCAATAACATGCGTTGCAGCTCCCGCGCGGGGGCCGTGGCAAGATCCATAGCATACAAGGCTCGTGAGCTGACGGTCGCTGAAGTGTGGCGGCCCAACACCGCACAAACATCGTCACACAATCCAAACTTCGCCGCCCAAGAGAGAAGGGTTCGTTTCAGCGAATGCGATGACACACATGATAACCTGTCTTTGCTTGACACTGGCAGAAGAATCTTCCTGAGGAAAGATGTGATCTCATGTGACCTGATTTCACGCAGGCAAAGGGTGTCGCCATATGAGTTGGCGGGTGCCCTCAGGATGGGCCCCTTCAACTCACCCTCTAGCTTCAAGCCTGCATCTTCCAAACACTCCTGAGCTGCATTCAGCCACGTCTGTCCGTGCACCCCGATGGCCGGTATGAGAACCGGCAACAACTCTCTGCAACGCGCCTGTGCACGGCGCGTCTTGTGCTGACCCAGCTCAATGATGAGAAATCCTCCCGCCGGTGAGTGGTCATGCGTGACATTCTGAACATCCGCCAGGTCAGAATGCCTGGCTCTTGCATATAAGGCTAAGAGTATGTATGCCACCATCGCAAGGTCGTATTTGTGCAGCTCGCGTTGCTCCAACAGCCGGTGCAGGAACAGGATCTCACTCACCGTGAGGGGCAATGCTTGCTTAATCCAACCCTTGCCGGTGCGCATCTGTTCAGTGATTCCGCTGACACGTCTACTTTTGAGGATGTGCGTAAGGTCCAGACCCAACACATGGTGTAAGAACCGAAACATGGATACACAGTCGGCTCCTCGCGACGGGGGCGAGCCTGAATGCCTCAGGTGGCTGAGATACCTCCACACGGTGGCCTCGTGTAGGTAACAGCCGCTCTGAACACACGACTCCATACACCACTTCAAGTAATTCGCAAGGTTGCCTACACGCTTGTTTAATGTGAGAGGACTCCTCACCCCGATTGCCGCTTCCAGCGACTCAGCGTCGACCTGCCCTTGGTGCAGAAGCTCCGGGGGAACAAAGGCGTTACCCACTAGCTCTAAGTTGATGGCCAACTTGTGGATTCCAACCTGAAGCAACTCCTCACGGCGTTCAAGATATCCCACATCTTTAACAACCTTCACAACTAGCTTAAAGATTGGCTCGGACGGCGAGGGCAGTTTGGCTGCTGGCGAAAGACTCGGTGCAATCACAACGGGGGGGGGCTCCGGCATGCTACGTCTTGGCATCCCTTTCAAGCTTGGCAAGCTCGGCAAGTTATCGGCAAAGATGCTCTTCATGGGACCTCGCTCCCACGGAAGCTGAAATCCTCGTGGTGGCACTGGGTGCCGTACAAGCTCGTTCATGACCTGCTCTTGTACAAAGACAGGATCGGCCTCACGACTGCATGCCGACACCTGTTCGGTCACTTCGCTCATGCATTCCTCACTACCTACAAGACTGTGGAGCGCCCTGTCAAGAGCAGCCTCAGCTTCTGCATCAGCGGAAAGGTTTCGCAAGGCCTCACTAAACCCATTGTCATATTCTCGATAATACTCTAGCTCCTCTTGCTCATCGAAGTCATAATTTGCCAAATGCTCTTCCCGGACCGGCTCGGCCGGCTGAGAAGGTACATCGCCCGGCAGCTCCTCGCCAGGGCCCTGGGCATCCTCCAAAGAGGCTGGAATGCTTTCGGAAGCGACCGGAAGCTGCGGTTCTCCATCTTCCAAAGCAATGGGACCCACACTCAACGGTCCCTTCTCCAACAACACCCCTGCAACTCCTGAAGCCAACCCCACATTGTTCGAGGAAAGTGCGGGATCTGAGGAGGCGGAGACGTCGGGTGCGGCCATCCCTGGGTGGCAGCAGCACAAAGCAACTGAGGCAGGACTTGGGTATTCACAAACCAAGATGTCTGCAGAAGCAGCAAGCGCTCCTGGCAGGGCAGAAAGGCCCAAACGGTTGCAGTTACTGCAGAATCGTCAAAGAGGTCTTCGAAGCACGCAAGCACTACACTAGAAGAGCCCGAGGCGGGGCTGGCAGACTCAAGCGGCCTGTGCAAGCGGAACTCTAAAGCTGTAACTCGAAGTTGCAAAGAGGAGATCTGATCCTGCAGGATATCCTCGACAGCCCGCAGGGAGCTGGGGTGCACCACCGACGAACCCGCACTGGTGGCGGAGGTATGGCTCATACAAGGAGGCTGCACCTCGTGATAGCACCCGGAGCCTGCTAGAATGTCTAGGAGCTTAGAAGGCCTCGAATGAAAATTTTTCTTTTTGAGCCGCTGTGGCTCTCACTTGAGCAAAAATTTTTCTTTTTGAGCCGCTGTGGCTCTCACTGCACGGAGATGTATTCTGCTGCACCAAGTCTCATCAGAAACGAAACTCCCCCGAGTTTCTCAAATCAAGAATTTTAAAACGCTATCAACAAGTTGACCGCCAGCATACCTCGATCAAATATCTCCACTCCAAATCATATAAAGAATTGTCGACCACATATGTTGGTCCGATTCGAATATATACAGATGATAAGAAATTGATGCAGAGCGCACACACTTGTTTTCACGGCACAGCCGAGAGTCATGGGGAGTTTTCACGGAAAACACAAGTGCACAACGTGTGCACCGGGCACTAAGAGTGCCCCTCCACCTAAGTCGAGGCACCAGGCGTGCCAACAGATCCAGTCGCACTTTGGAGTGCAACGTGACCACCAATCTCCCCCTCTCGACTATGCGTTACGTTGCAACAAGCGCCTCACCAGTGACAAAGCAAGTCGGCGCATCACGATCAAAAGGCCCGAGGAATGCCAGCTCGTCCCATCTGCCTCGTGAAGGTGGGTCTGCGATGTTACTCTGACTCGGGACACGATGAAACCAGGGCAAACACGGCCGTGCTTCATCGGCAGCCTCCAGGTGGAGGAGCAGGCTTCTCCACGATGCATCGATCGAGTTCGAGTTGATGCAAGCACTCAGCACACCCGAATGGTCAACGAAAAATATGCATCTTTCGCCGTCAATGTAACTCGACCACAAGATCCTCGCGAGCACCACCGCGTAAAGCTCGACCTGCCCTATAATGTGTTTCCTACCTGGTCCTACCTTCGGCCCATTGCCTGACGAGCTTGGTTGGAACCCTGCAGCCGAAAGCCCTAGCTACCCCCTTGCCGGGAACAAAGAGTACCCCTCCAACACCTGTGGTGAAGCCGCCTTCATGCGCCATCTGTGAAGAGAAGGACTGGATTCGAGGGCGGGCTCGTAGCAATGGCTCGCGGCCTGCTCGCAAGAAGTCTCGCCCTCAAGACAGCCAAGGCGTTCGATTGCGAATCGGTCAACTGCAAGACACCACCTTTGTCACCAAGGAGCCTGAGGTCAGCCAGGGCCAAACGCCCAGCGCGGCCGAGCAGCTGAGCATCTGCAAAGCGAAGTTTGCCAAGAAGGGAGGGCAACTCCCTCGTGTCTACCTGGCCCTGTTCAAGGATGCGGCCTATGGACTCCTCAAGCATGGTAGCCCGTTCAGGCTTGTTCGATACGAAGATGCGCCCCATGTCGGGATCCGACGTATCGAGCACAACACCCAAAGTTTCTGCAGTGCAAGAGAACGGCTTCTCTTTCTCGGACAAGGAGAAGCCGAACAAGTCCATGAGGGCATGAACTGCATTGTCCGTCCCGCCCGACAAGAACGAGGGTGTCATGGCCGGGAAATCGTCGTAGTAGCAAGTCACAGCTACCCTCAAATCCCAAAGAACCCTTTGCAGAAACAATGCCACCCGGTTAAACTGCATAACTGAAGCCGAAGCCCCGAAAGGAAGAGTGTTGCACACAAAGGCTTTCGCAGCGCGGGAGCCGGGCTCCCTGAGCAGGATAATGGATTTCGGCCTCTCACCTGGGTGCAATGCAAGTTGCTGGTACGCTGCCTGAAGGTCATAAGTCTTGCATTGAGGACGGACGCGGTCAGGGTCCTTCCACGCAGAATGGAGAGGCCCCTTGAGTCTCTCACCCGAACTGAGCTCCAGATGACGAGGTGCATCTTCATTGTAAGCCAGGCTCAAGGGCTTCGAACTGAGATTCAAAAGCTGTCACACGCTTTCGTTTCGTAGTGGGTTCCAGAGCCTTCAAATTCTCCAAAGTGTCGTGCCCCAAAGACAATCTGATCAAACACTCAAAGTACTTCACCTGTGCATCATGCCGAACATGCTCAAGGCCAAGAGCCAACAATTCCTGACGATGCTCCTCGACTGCGACCATTGCCTGAAGATAGTCTCTCGAGACCATCGGATGCGATGTCTTGAAGTACCATGTGCACCCTGGCCCTGGCCGACCCCCGTCATCAGGGGCAAGGTCAACATCCTGTTCAGGCATGGCCAACTGGAGAGTGAGCGGCCGACCTCGTTTCGCCCTGGGGTGAAGGAGAGCTACCCACTCGAGCCTCGTCCACTCAGCTCTGTTGTCCAGCAATCGCAATTGCAGGACGGAAATTGGATTTGTGAGGGCAACTCGAGACTTAACCCAGTGCATCCCTTCCAGTGACAGAGCCCAACCTGCACCACTAAATTCAAGCCACCCCCGCTCAGTCATCTGCTTCAGGACCCCATCTGCAGCACCTGCCTGTTTCCTTTTAGAACGTCTGGGAGGAGGCAGAGAAAAGACCCGACCGGACTCTGGAGTTGCATCTGCACACATGAGATCTGTGACAACTTTGTCCATAGCTTCCTGACTAAAGCCTGGCAGCAATTGGCCCTGCCAAGTGAAGTGCACATCAGAAGCATCCTGGAACCGGAAGACTTTATATCGGAATAGAGCCTCATTTACAAGCGCTGTGGCCCTTGTAAGGGACTCGCCGGAGCCACGAGGAACACCTGTCGTGCCCAAGACTCTTTCTGACTCAGTGGCACCTACATCCGACAAAGGATACAACGTGACCGCCAAATCTGCTGCTTGCAAGGACGTCATGCACGCTCCCTTGACCTGCTTCAAAAGGCTAGGTCTCCAATGCTGAACCTTGAACAAGACACAACGATGATCCCTGTCGGCTTCCAATGTCAAATCCTGAGAAACACACTGCTGCAAGGATGACCCCGCAGGGGTCTCGGCACTTGGGTCAGGTTCAAAACAAGCAATCTCTCCAGAACCGTCCATGACTGCATCCACACCCGGCGCTGCTGACACGGCCGTGCACATTTCACGAAATGGAAACTCACTTCCCGCCCCCACGGCACCGGCAGCAAGAGGAAGCACAGCAGCACAGTACGAAGCACTATTTGATTTGTAAGAGCAGACTGCACGGAAGTGTTCCAAAGCCAAATGCCGTTGGAGCTCGTTGGAAGCTGCATCATGCAGCGGCAGCTTGTTCTGACTGCGGGTCTTTTGGCATGGGCCCAGGAGAACATCTTCCCACTCTGTGTATTGCGAAGCTGCATCCAGTCTGAACATCACTCGATCAGCAAGCCAAAAGATCTCATGGCATGTTTTCTTTGCTCATCAGGAAGATCTTGCAACTTCAAGACAGCAGGAGACTTTTGAAGACCAAGATGGGTCAACACAAAGAACGGCAGCCTGACCTTGTTGAAACTATTCGCCAACTGCAACAAAATTTCAGGTTGCTTCTGCACTTCAAGAGAACTGGCAGGCGAAGAGCACTAGACACATAAGCACCGGAATGATTAGCTGCTCGATCAGTAGCTCGTTTCACGACAGCATGACGACCCTCGATGCTTCTCTCCAACAACGGAAGGAAGGCCAAGCGTGCAATCTGTGAGCACCAAGCAAGGCAACATGCATCATTTCTGGAAGCTCCCTGAGCAAAACACAAAATCGAACTCCGGATGCGACCGCTCTCAGACAAGAAAGACTTGCAAAGCACATGGGCCTCTTCTTTGTGAAGCCCAGGAACCTGGAGCGGAAAGCTGATTCTGGCCAGGAGAGGCTCAGGCTGTGGGCAGGGTGGGTGAGGCCCGGGCGGATCTCAAAGTAGCGTTCGAAAGCTTCCTCCGGCTTCCGAAACGGCCTGATGGATGTTGCAAAAGCGCTGCAACAGCACTCTGCAATGCATGCTGTGATAAGCTGCCGAGAAAGTTTACAAGCAAAAAATTCTGGTCTGAAGCTGCTGTAGATGCAGGTTGACTCGTTTGGATCCTTCTTTTCTTTCGTTGCCGGGAGAGCAAACTTGTGCACACGATACATGGCCACACAGAAGCTTCTGATCTTCTTTGACAAAGGGGGGCTTAAGGAGGGGCTTTAAGGGGGGCTTTAAAGGGGCTTTAAGGGAGCAAAAGGGGGGCTTTGACAAAGAGGCTTTGAAGGAGGCCTTAAAAGGGCTTTAAGGGGGTTTTGAAGGGGGGCTTTAAGGGGCTTTGAAGGGGCTTTGAAGGGGGGCTTTAAGGGGCTTTGAAGGGGGCTTTAAAGGGGAGCTTTAAGGGGCTTTGAAGGAGGCTTTAAAGGGGGCTTTAAGGGGGTTTAAGGGAGGGCTTTGAAGGGGGCTTGAAGGGGGCTTTGAAGGGGGCTTGAAAGGGGGGGATGAAGAAGGGGTTTTGAAGCTTTCAAAGTATAGGTGCTGCATTGTATTTTTTTCGCAAAACACACCAAAAAGCGATTTCGTGAAGTTTGCTTTTCTCATTTTATTTCTTCGCAAAAACCCCCCATCAAACGATTTCGTGTGGCTTCTTCTTCTTCTTGTTTTGTGTGTGTGTAATTGCGTGGGGGCTTGTAATTGTGTTTTATTTTATTAAGTTTGCTTTTCTTATTTTATTTTCTTTGCAAAAACCACCCATAAAACGATTTCGTGTGGCTTCTTCTTCTTCTTGTTTTGTGTGTGTGTGTGTGTGATTGCGTGGGGTGAGCCGATACACCCACAAGGAA